CCATCCCTGATCCATGGTCAGAGAGGATTCACCAGGGGCTTAATCCACGTGCGTGTTTTTTTTAATTGCAACAGATTTAAAATGGGTCAACAATGTCTGCCATAATTAACTTTCCAGTGCTCTCTGTCTGATGACAACAGGGATATTTACATCCCTCCACTATGATTGGAAGGGGATTCACTGGAGGTTTTATCCATTTCACTTCCACCATCATCCCCGACATTCTGCAAACCAAATGTACACAATTTAAGCTCTGATGCCATTCCCTCCTTAGATTGGATTATATTATTGATAATCCTTGGATCACACAGGCGGGTGTGCTTCTTCCATGTGGACTTAGTTGATGCCTCAATCAGATAGCTGCTTGTTTGAAAACAAGTCTTTAAGTCCCAGAAGCTATTCTTTCTAGCAGCTGGGCACTATTTAGTTCCTTCACCACACTTTGTCATCACATCCTAATCTTCAGTGATCTCTTCATGAGGATGAGCATCGAGCAAAGCCATGTCATAAGAACTAATTGTTTTTAGATTGGGGCTAGAATTAAGTGCAAGCCCCAAATCCATTCATGCATCTCTGTTTCCTATCTGTCTCTGGTTCACCTGAGAGGCATCACTGTCATTTTAAGTTAGAAAACATTATCAGTCATCCACTTGGGGCATCACGTGCACTGCCATCAAGCCAATGCTGACTCATAGGAACGCTGTAGGGCAAGGTAGAACTGGCCCTGTGGAGTCTTCAGGGAGTCTTTCTTATCTGGATTATTCCGTCAGTACAATGTGGTTAATGTATTCAAAAGCCACATTTTCTTTGGGTTTCTGAGACTAGACATCTTTATGGGAGCAGACTGCCTCATCTTTCTCCCTTGGATGGGCTAGTGGGTTTCAACCTCCGACCTTGAAGTTAGCAGTCCACTGTCCTGCCAGGGTTCCTTAAATAGTACATCCTAATAGGAGAATCTTTATTTTCTGATTGTTATCAAAACTTAACAGTATTTTGGTTGACAGAATATGCAAACAAATACATCAAGGCAACTAGGTATGTTAACATCATTTTTTGAATCACAGGAGAACTAGTGTTTTTCCAAGCTGTCCCTTAGCCTTCCTCTCCCTTTCAAATCTCTTCTCTTTTATTTCTCCTGTTAAATATAGACACAAATCCTTACTCATTTGTCTTATTTGTAAAGCAAGCTCATTTATGCATGCACAGAAAGTTGACAGGCTCTAAGAAAACACCGTCTAACAGACTTCCTTATGGACAACATAAAAATTAACCTAAACTCAGGGTTTTCAGAGTTGCTACTTACTTTGAAGTTATTGACCTCTGCTAGAGTCTAGAAAGAGCCCTGGTGGTGCAACAGTTAAAGCACAAGGTCACTAACTGGAAGGTCGGTGGTGCAAACCCACAAGAAAAAGATTCGGCAGCGGTCTGGCTTCCACATAAATACTGTGGCCTTGGAAACCCAATGGGGAAGCTTTACTTCTAGCATTGCTATTAGTCTAATTGACTTGATAGCACCAGGTTTGCACCAGGAAATTCTTAGTCTCCAAAACAAGTATTCAACTACTTACTGTTGACACTAAGCTCACTCTCATAAACAAGACCTAAAATTAAGTTTGTTTAAGTTGCATATGAATGTTGCTTCTTCTATAGAAGAATCTAGCATCACATAAATCAATGATTAATAATAAATCAAGACCAAGAACAAGAGACCAGATAGTTCAAGTAATTAACAGGGAAATGGGCAAGGACACAGAAATAGATGACCAGAGATTCTCACTGATTTATACAATGGGACAGCACTTTAAATGTTACATTAAAAATGACAATATAGACTTATTATGTAAGACAAAAACCAAAAGACGATGATGATTATGGTCTGTTAAATGGTGCTCTCAGGAGCTGTGATGGCATAGTGGCTTCATGGCATTGGGTTGAATGCCATAAAATGCCGTATTCGGGGGTTCGAAACCAAGAACTGCTTTCTCCTCAAGGGCAAGATGAGGGTGTCTATTCCCATAAAGAGTTCTAGTCTGAGAAGCCCACAGGGGCAATTCTACCCTGCCCTTTCCGGTCAGCTGGGCTGTAAGGGACTCACCAGCAGTGAGTTCGGTTTGGGATTTTGAAAGCGAGAATATGTACGCCAGAACATTCTAGCATAGAGACCAAAAGTAGGCAGTGTGGTGTGTGTGTGTGTGTGTGTGTGGCAGTCTGTCTCAGGGGCATTCCTCATTCTGTCCACTGAAGATAAATTCTATTCCCACTAAGCCAACTGGAGCATCAAGAGACTGAAATGAAAGGTATTTTCTTCCTTTTAGGACCTAAAATGAGTGGTGTCTCTAGACACAGTGGAGAAGAAATCACACACTCTCTCTCTTTAAAACACTGACTATTAAAAATGCTTCATCAAAACCATCTTTGGTCATTATCATCTACACCTGACAATCATTTGTCGGCTTCAGTGAACATATGACCCAAGCAGGAAGCTTGCCCTGCTCGATCCAGGCTGT